TAGCTCCCGGTGCGTTTGCCTTTTGGTTCGCCGAGTCCCTCAGCCGAGGCGACTTTTGTGGGTTTCTCATGGAAACGTCTAAGGGTCTGGGCCCTGACTTTCTATCTTTTCTCGCCGAGTCCCTCAGTTGAGGTGACTCCTATAGGCTTTTTCTCGGAAACGTCTAAGGGTCTGGGCCCTTGTTTTCAATCTTTTCTCGCCGAGTCCCTCAGTCGAGGCGACTCCTATAGGCTTTTTCTCGGAAACGTCTAAGGGTCTGGGCCCTTGTTTCCTCTCCTTGCTCGCCGAGTCCCTCAGTCGAGGCGACTCCTATGGGCTTTTTCTCATAAACGTCTAAGGGTCTGGGCCCCCGTTTCCTATCTCTTCTCGCCAAGTCCCTCAGTCGAGGCGACTTCTATAGGCTTTTTCCCGGAAACGTCTAGGGGTCTGGGCCCTTGTTTCCTCTCCTTTCTCGCCGAGTCCCTCAGTCGAGGCGACTCCTATGGGTTTTTTCTCGGAAACATCGAAGGGTCTGGGCCCTTGTTTCCAATCTTTTCTCGCCGAGTCCCTCAGTCGAGGAGACTCCTATAGGCTTTTTCCCGGAAACGTCTAAGGGTCTGGGCCCTTGTTTCCTATCTTTTCTCGCCTAGTCCCTTAGTCGAGGCGACTCCTATGGACTTTTTCTCGGAAACGTCTAAGGGTCTGGGCCCCCGTTTCCTATCTTTTCTCACCTAGTCCCTCATTTGAGGCGACTCTTATAGGCTTTTTCTTTTTCTCAGAAACTGTTTTCAAGATGTGGAAAGTGATGGTACTTTTATTCAAGGTTGAACTTTAGGTGAATACACAGGCTAACCTTTTAAGGCTTCGAACTCACTGGTAGAACTTCTCCAAGTGGATCACATTCCAGATCCGGTCAACAAGCTTCCCCTCCAATGTCTCCAGTTTATATGTGCCGGCTTGGACCACCGCGGCAATGCGATAAGGTCCTTCCCACTTGATTGCGAACTTTCCACCTTCCGTGGGCTGGCTCGCCTGTTGATCTCGTAGCACGAGGTCACCGACTTGAAAGGTTCCTAGGCGAATCCTCCGATCCCGATATCTTTTTACGGCCTGCTGATATTCCACCATACGGGCATGCGCAACTTCCCTTCGCTCTTCCAAGAAATTCTTTTCAATTCTCAGGCTCTCATTGTTTCCTTCATCTGAGTAATTGCGGACTCGGTGGATAGGCTCGACGACTTCTACGGGAATCTTAGCTTCGAAACCATACGCTAGGGAGAACGGACTTTCACCAGTCGCCCGCCTCTGAGTGGTTCGGTAGGCCCACAGGACTCGATCAAGCTCATCCGCCCAGTTTCCTCCAATGTCCTCCAGCTTTTTCTGGATTCCATCTACGATTGTACGATTCGCATTCTCAACTTGTCCATTGGCTTGGGGATAGGCAACGGACACCTTAGTGTGGCGTATGCTATGCCGTCGGCAGACGTCTGCAAAGGGTTGGCAGTCGAACTGTCGACCGTTATCGCTGACCACATGCTCATGTAATCCAAAGCGGCAGATTACTTTCTTCCACAAGAAGCGTCGATAATGATATTCGGTGATGGTGGCTAGCGCTTCAGCCTCAACCCATTTAGTGAAACAGTCGATGGCCACTACGCAGAACTTTAGACACCCGGGGGCGACTGGTAGTGGGCCCAGCAGATCAATCCCCCATTTGGCGAATGGGATGGCCGTAGTAACTGGCGTGTAGAAAGTGGTTGGCCGAGTATCCTTTCGAGCGAATGCTTGGCAGATCGCGCATTTTTCTATCCACTCGATGCAGTCTCTCATCATAGTAGGCCAGTAGTATCCCTGAACGACTAATTTTCGGGCGAGAGTGTGGGAGCCCTGGTGAGCTTCACAGATTCCATGATGGGCTTCGTCCATTATTTTCGCCGCCTCAGGTCTAAGTAAGCACCTGAGGAGGGGACCCCCAAACGACCGCTTGTATAGTTGTCCATCGATAATTTCGAATGACGGAGCTTTGCAACGGACCCAGGTGGCGACTCAGGGGTCCTCTGGAAATTCCCATGTTTCCTTGTACCGTCGAATATCTTCGATCCAGAACATTTCAGGGTTCTTCACCCGGTCCCATTCTTCAGTCGTCACTTGCTGAATCTCTAAGGTCGCTTCTTCTATGCTGGGTCGGACCAGTTCTTCCTTTTGGCAGATTTTAACGAGATGATCCGGCACGCCTTCCAAAGTGATCTTTGAGAGTATGTCGGCTTCTGTGTTGTCGGCTCGCGAGATGTACTCTATATCATAAGCGCCGAATCCCTTCAATAGCTCTACCGTTTTCTCCTTATATTGAGCCATCCGAGCGTTTTTGGCGTCGCAGGTCCCGGACACCTGTCCAACCACCAAACGAGAGTCGGTCTTGATTCGTAGGCGTTCCGCCCTAAGTGTCCTGGCGAGTCGTAGGCCACCCAGCACAGCCTCGTACTCGGCCTCATTGTTAGAGGTCGAGAACAAATAACTTAAAGCGTAATAAAGCCTGAACCCTTCCGGAGTAATCAACATAACTCCGCCGCCGCAATGTTGGCGACTGGCCGCTCCATCCGAATGTATCTCCCACCATTCGCCGGGGCCATCCTCCGAGATATCGTCCCTGCCGCTTTCTCCTGTAGTGCACTCGACCAAGAAATCGGCCAAGGCCTGTCCCTTCACTGATGGGCGAGGCAGATACTCGATCCCGTACTGGGTTAGCTCCACTGCATACTTCACGAGTCGGCCGGACGACGTGGGATTCCGTAACACGCTTCCCAGGGGTTGATCGGTCAAGACCCGAACGGTGTGGGCTTGGAAGTAGGGCGCCAGTTTGCGCACGGTGATTACCAGAGCGTAGACAATTTTCTCCAGAGGCGTATATCGCGCTTCGGCTGCTTTCAAAGAACGACTCACGTAATATACCGGGTGCTGAGCACGTTCCTCCTCTCGGAAAAGTACCGAACTCTCCGCTTTTGAGGATGCTGCTAGGTATAAGAACAATAGCTCACCGATTTGGGGGGTGGACAACACCGGAGGTGTGGAAAGATATTTTTTCAGCTCATGGAACGATTGCTGGCACTCAGTTGTCCATACGATGCCCTCCTTCTTCTTCATAGCCTCAAAAAAGGGCAAAGTCTTGTCCGCCGATTTGCTTAAAAAAGGACTAAGGGCAGCCAGTCGACCAGTCAATCGTTGTAGGTCCTTAAAAGTACTGGGAGGCTGCATGTCCATGATTGCCTGCACCTTCTCCGGGTTGGGCTTGATGCCCCTTTTGGTCACCATATACCCCAAGAACTTCCCACCTTGCACGGCGAAGACGCACTTCTTCAGATTAAGTCGTAAATTGTATTTAAGCATTATCTGGAAGCAGTCGGCCAGATCTTTAGCATGATTAATTTCCTCCTGGCTCTTCACTAGCATGTCGTCTACGTATGCTGCCATAGATTTTCCCAATAAGTCCTGGAACAGTCGGGCGACCATTCACGTGTACGTAGCTCCTGCATTCTTGAGTCCGAATGGCATGACTCAGTAACAATACACCCCATCTGGGGTCAGGAACGCGGTTTTCTCTTCATCGGCCTTGTGCATGAGGATCTGATGGTATCCTCTGACCCCGCCATTTCGTCGACCAACTGATCGATCCGAGGCAGCGGAAACGGGTCCTTCGGACAAGCCTTGTTAAGGTCGGTATAATCCACACACATTGGCCAAGCCGACGGTTTCGGCACGAGCACCACGTTAGCCAGCCATTCCGGATACTTGACTTCTCGAACGTGACCAGCGGCTAACAGCAAGCTTACTTCTTTCTTCACGAATTCCCTTCTATCGTTGGCTAGATATCGCTTCTTTTGGATTACCGGTCGATGGTCGGGGTCGACAGCGAGCCGATGAGCAATGATAGACCGGTCAACTCCCGGCATATCCTCCGGCCCCAAAGCAAAGACCAGCCGGTTTTCTCGAAGAACCTTTATAACTCCCTCCCGCACCTCATCTGGGAGGCCGACTCCAATTCGAACTAATATCTCTGGTCGTTCGGGGTCGATTTCGATATCCTCCAATTCTACGGCCGGCTCTGGGCGGGGTATCGTTGCTTTTTTTGGAGGTCGTTCTGTGATCTCATGGACCTGCATTTCACGTTTCCCCATGCCCCCGCAAGCTTGCAAATAGCAGTCACGGGCGATTCTTCTGTCACAGCGGACCGTGCCAATCCCATTCGGCATGCGGAACTTCAAGCAGAGATGCTCAATGGAGATCAATGCTCCCAAATCTTCCAAGCCTGGTCAGCCAAGTATTGCGTTATGCGAACAGGTCAGGTCGACCACAATAAACTTCATGTCCAGCTTCTGCACGTCAGGGTAGCTGCCGATTTCTACTGGCAGGGTGATTGACCCTTCCGCCTCCACCGAGTCGCCCGTGAAGCCGACGAGGGGCGTCTTTACTGGGATCAACTGCTCTCGTGTTAGCCCCATTTTGGTGAAGGTCTCGAGGTACAAGACGTTGACACTACTTTCGGTATCTACCAGGATTCGCCGAACAACTACCCCGTTTACGTCCATCGCGATGACCAGTGCATCGCGGTGTGGTATCTCCCCCGTGGGTAGATCCTTGTCAATGAAGACAATAGGCTCTAGGCAGGCTTTCTTCGAGCCACCTTCTCGTCCGTACACTTTTCCTACATACAATTGCCGGGCCCAGGCTTTCCTGGTGTTCGCTGAGTCGCCTCCCTCTGGTCCGCCGACTATCATATTGATAACCAGCTTCTGTCGCCACTGGGCCTCGTCTTCGTCGGTCGCCGGCTGCTTGCCGCGACTGCATTCTGCTGCTCCTGCAGAGTCGCCGTCTTCCCAGGCTACCGATCTTCGTCGCCATTGGTTGGGAGGCGGGGTCCCTTGCTGGATGATCCCCTCCATGATCTTCTTCAAGTAATAACATTCTTCCGTGTTGTGGGTGTATGACTTATGATAATGGCAATATTTAGACACTTTACCTGGATCTTAGTTCGTTGTATACTCCTCGGTCGGGGGAGGCGCGACTGCTCGCACTTCCTGTACTAGGTGCTGGGGAGTCAGCCTATAAGGGTGGATGCTGGGCCTATCATATGGGCGTCGTGCTTCAGGTCGCCTAGACGGATCCGGGCGTCTCTCCTTAGTTTTCGCGCGGGTTCTCTTTCCATTAGCAGATCCCCCGATCTCACGCTGTCGCTTGTGCTTCATTGCCTGCTCCGTGTTGGCTTGTTTGTTAGCCATATGTATGACCTCCACGTAAGTGGCCGGCCGGTTGTCTCGTAAATCACGATACAGCTGCCCGGATCGTAAAGATTCGATGAAGAAGGTGAGGGCAGTTTGGTCCTCAACTTCCTCGATAGACTGGATCTCTTTTTGCCATCGGGCCAAGTAAGTCTTGAGGGATTCGCCCTCCTCTTGATGAACGTCTCCCAGATGAGTTAGATCTTTTTGTGGCTTGATGTTGGCCGCATAGTGGCTCATGAAGCGGTCGGCTAGTCCCTCAAAGTTGTGTATCGATCCCGGGGGCAGAGCCACCAACCATCTTTGTGCCAGGCCCTTTAGTGTCGATAGGAAAGCGCGACACATGACAGGGTCTTGGACTCCTAAAACCTGCATCTTAGCCTGATAGCTTAAAAGGTGCTCCCGTGGGTCGCCGGATCCGTCGAAGGTGGCCTGTTCCGGGAACTTGAAATCGCCGGGTACTTTGTAAGACATGATCTCGGTGGAGAAAGGCAAGGCAGTGAGCAACGTTAGTCCAAGGGACTTGGTCCTACCTTCCATTTGCTCCCTCAGGTTTCGCACTTCTCGAGCCAGGTGAGCCACATCGTGGCCGTTTCACGTGTGATTTCCGGTGGACTCCGTGCTTTCGCCGACCTCTGATTCGGCTTGTTGGTCATTGTTGCGTACAGGTCGCTCGGTTCGTCATGCCCGAGTCCTGGTCCTTCTAGTACGGGTTTTTTCTCTGCCGGCCTTTCGATTTTGGGGACCCACCGGTGCGTGACTGGGCTCTCTCTCCCCCAGTCGTTCTCTCGCTGATTGACGCACGGCACTCGGGCCGAGCCTCGAATGGACTGATCGCACCGGTAAGATCTCTGCTCGCCGATCTCCTTGACTGCCCTCTCCAGACCTTTGGGGCGGTTGTTGATTGCGAGGCGGCGGTCGTGAGGCCTGTAACACCCCGTGTTACGACCCCTAAAACCAATTAATCCTTTAATCAATTACCCAAAAGAAAGAATTAAATTACAGAAATTAATTAGGAAAAAGCCCACCATAGTCCGTGGGCCCCCATCTCTAAACCCAACCCCTAGTCCTAAAAGGATTAGATCCTAAAATAAGACCCTTAGATATATAAATAGGGAACCTAGAGGGCACCTAGAGCCCACCACAAGAATAACGCCCCACCACCCCAAAAGAGCTCCAAGAATCCCCTTAGAAGAAATCAAGAAAGCAAGAAAGCTTAAAGAAAGATCCTTCATAGCCAAGGAATTAATTAAGGCTAAGAGGTAACCCATGTCTCAACAAAACCTATTTTCATAGCTATGATTTCCCCCGTAGGATTTCCCCATATTATTGTGTATTGATGAGTTGTGATATTATTATTGATGATTGATGGGATAATTCCATGGGTGATCTTGATATTGGGAGATTCTTGATAATTATGGTGTTCTTGATGATTATGTGGAGTTCTTGATGTTTATATGTCGTTCTTGATAATTGTATGGCATTCTTGATGCTTATGTGTTATTTGTACCGAATCTTGTAATTAGAAGACGAATCGTATTCTTGTTGGTATAAAAGTGATTAGAACCCTAGGTTGTATCGTATGATATTATTCTTGGTGTATCGGGTGGGAAATCGCATGTTTGGGTGTCGATTATGTTTAGAAAAGCATGATAGGTTATGTGCCGTACGTTTCTCGTATTTGATCCGTTAATTGTCTACGTGTTGATCGTTAATTGCATTGTAAAGTGTCTAAGCATGGTTTCGGGTTCCACAATGGTTCCCGGGGCGTTTTTCTGTGATGAAAGAGTCAGTGGGGGGTAGGTGGGGGTAGGGGACCCGCCACCTACCCGCGGCCTTCTTGGGCAACGCCGGCAGCGGGCAGCTGCCCGCCGGGCACCCGCTGCCCGGATTTGCTACCGCCGGCGGGCAGCCGGCGGGTGATCCCTCACCCACCGGCTACCCGCTGGTTTGGACCCCACTTTGGGATTTTGGCTTCCCCGTTCGATGTTCCTCCGACCCCCGTGGTGTCCCAACGGACTCCGTCTATCGTGCCTATGTCTAGTTTGATATTTCGGGTACTGTTCGTAGGTCGCATGAGTCTTATATATTGCATGCTAGTTGAATTGGTATCCCGTTGACCTAGGTGAAAGAAGTATGAACCCCTTAGGATTATTCTTAGTATGTGAAGGATCACGCATAGGTTTTGTTATACGTTTTCTCCCCCTTCCCAACGTGATAATGTGGGTTGCATATGCTTGCTATGTGTTATGTGTGCATGATACCCCAATCCGGTTGCGATCGGATTGGTTATTCCTGAGCTGCGGTTCAGAAGCTGGCTGCGGTCAGATTTACACTCTTGGGCTGCGGTCCACCGTTTGGTTGCGATCAAACGTTTCTACATGAGCTGCGGTTCATACTTTCCTGGCTGCGGTCAGATGACATACTCTTGGGCTGCGGTCCACTGTTTGGTTGCGATCAAACTATGATGAGCTGCGGTTCATCGGCCGGTTACGATCGACCCCTCCGTGTTGCGATACGAGGCAGGGTGCTGCGGGGCCGTGTCAGAGCTATATGCGCTGACCCTCATGTATGGGCACGCGATTGGTCCTGTGGCGCCAACAAAGTGTGCTATGTGATGAGATATGGATGAGTTGTGATTATGAGTATCTTGGGGGGGGGGGGGGGGGGGGGGGGGAAGTGACTATGGGATTTATGCTGGGGAGTGTTTATGTTGGGTTATGATTATTAATTGTGGTCAGCTTTATCTGTCTTGCCTGTGGTGGTTTGTATACGTTTGTTATAACTGTTGCTTGTGTCTAGCCTTATCTGTTGAGTCACTCCCGGTTTTAAAAGCTAGAGTTCGTAGGATATATCTTCATGCTCAAAATGGTTTTTCGTATATCTATATATATCTCTATATGTGTATTGTATTTCACCGCGTTGGAGTGGGTTACCAGCATCTCTCGCTGAACAGATATATTTGGCTTTCAGGCACAGAAGAATAAGTCACTGGAGCGCGCTAGAAATTGGAGCGTAGAAGTAGATAGTTTCCCTTTCGGCCTGCGTGCCATGCTTATGCATTTACATTATCAAGGATATTAGTTAGTTAGCCTGTGCACCTGAGTTCTCGAGCTCAGGTGTGGCATAGCACCCCGTACTCTTGTATTACGCTTTGGGATTCAATGAGATTTCGCCTTTATTTTATAAGTTTTAAATGTTTTGAAAATTCGGGGTGTTACAAGGCCGACTATTCTCCCATTCCCCGATTTTCAGCAACGATGGCTCGTCCCCGATTTGATCAATGATGGTAATTTAGGTCGTGGGTAGAGGCTAGTGGGTTTGCTATTGGATTTTGTGCTGGGGGTAGGGATGGAAGCTCAAAGAAAGGTGGTGTGCTGGCCTAGTGTGGGCTGGGGGTGCAGCCGGTTGAGGCACTAGCTAGCTTCTACAAAATTCCTATTCAATTAATTGAGTGATATTTTTACATTAATCTTATAATATAATCAAATAAGTATATACCGTCTAATATTAAAATTGTTTATAATTTAATCTCTAATTTTATTATCTAAATATATAATTAAAAATTTTTACCCCTGCATTGTATAGTACATGTAATATAATATAGAAGATTTAACATAGAAAAATTGTATGATATTTCAATTTCATATTTTTCGCGTACCAAAAACCTCCCTATTGTTACAAGGTTGAAGAATTGGTAAGCTACCACATATATGCAACGTAACATACATATATATAATACGTACAACTAATTAACTTCTCATCATCAGATCAGATCATCCGCAATGATTTGGAGATAGACAATTATCAAATTTGCCAAAAAAATTGTTGCAAGCTGCTTTGGTGGGTTGATGACCATGGTATAATATATTCAAGCTCCGGAGCTGTATGTCTTTACACGGCACGATTCTGCTGCAAATGAAATTGGCAGACAACTCGTCCTGGGAGCTCCCAATAATGTTTAAGTATGTGATGTTTGAGATTGCAACTGATGATTCCCCCTGTTTGATCAGATCAGATCGTAGACAAACATTAAATTCATTAATTAATTCTTGGCAGGACCCACACTCCTGCCTGCCCGGCAGATCAGAGCATTTGGGAGGACGATATGATGTAAGCCAATTAAGCCGTGATAATTCATTGGCATATAGCTAGCTAAGGAATTACATACTGTACCTGATGTTGACATCCGTTGTTGGGACAGTAGTGTTGATCGATGAGAATCGGGTTTTGAACACCATTCAAAATGATGTGTTGATAGGTAATGTTGTAGACCTTGGTGGGAGTAGAAGGTGCCCATGTTTTGATCCTAAGCCCATTTGTGGTGTTTGTGATAGTGCAATTGGTCACAGTAATTCCACTCACATCTTCTTCATTTATACTGTTTCCTAGGCTTCCAATGCTAATGCCATGGCCAGGACCACAATTCACCTCACTAATCACAACGTTTGTGGTTCCTCCCCCAATCGAAATGCAATCGTCCCCCGTCCCAATATCCACATTATGAACTTGCACATATTGTGACTGCCTGATGTGAATTCCGTCCGTATTTTTACTATTCGCCGGCGCTATTATTGTTATATTTTCAATCTCCACATGTTGATCGCCCTCGATTTTAATGTGAAATAATTTACTATTCCGTGAAGTTATCCCTTCAATACGGCCATACGTGACATTACTCAATTTCAAATTCTGAACATACATTATTAAGAAAGGCCAGATATTATTAGCCAGCTAGGAAAATTATATTAAATGAATGTATATACTATACATACCGTAGGAAGAGGTTTGCAGTTGGGGTCAACTTTGCATCGGTTCACAGTCCAGGCGTATGCACCCTGACCATCTATAACGCCGTTCCCAGTGACGTTTAAGCCTTGTAGATGCTCCAATAGTATCCACGACTCCGAGCTGTTGAGGAAAGTCTTCTCCGGAGCCTTCAAAACGCCCGTCACAGAAAACGTTATTGGCCCGGCGCAAGGGCCGCTTAACTTCACCGGATTCAGTAAGAACTCCCCACTTGGGACGCTCACCGTGCTGCCGCTATCATTGCATGCAACCATCCATGCTGCGAGTAATGCCTATATATATATATATATATTGAACGTACAAATCAGATAGAGTAAATTATCTTGGGGTCACGAGGGAAACTACCCTAAGGTGTGTACTGGATAAATCTCGCCTTGTGATCTTAACTAGCAAAGGACCACAATGCAAAGAGATAAACCAGGCCAGCCTAAGTTTTCCATACTTTGACTGCAACCAAGAAGACTGAGATTCAAACTCGTGACCTTGTGATTACAAGTTTGTATGTACCGTACCATTAGCTAACTTGGCCTCTTAGTTAATTATTATCTTCATCCTATATATAAACTTTGTATTAATTATATTCTAACGCAACTATATGGAGTGAATTAAGGATATATGAGTATTGCTCTTATACATAAACATATATACCTTGCTGCTGTCAGTTTTTCCATCTCGAATGGCACCATAATCAGTGATATTATAGGTTTTACGACCACTAACTACAGACACAG